TCTGAAACCTCATAAAAACAAAAAAATAGTGGTACAAACTCAGAGAATGCTATGTGCAGAAATTATTTGTTTACGTTTACGGCAGAAATTCATTTACCTTTAAGAATAGTTTTTGTGCAAGTTTGTTTTATACTCCGTGCCCGTACGGAAATTTTACTGACATTTCACGCGTTAGCCATAATGTTCACTTGGAGTTTCACAAATATTTTGTAGAGAAACATTTGCCTGTTCAACTACGACTCACGACTCATTCAGTATCACAGCTAGCTTTTCTCATCCAAAAGAGTTTGTGTGTCGTTTTGCAAATAGGAGGAAAACTTACGGGAAAAAATATGGTTAAAATCGAGAAAAAATTTTGAAAAATTTTTTCGAAATTTCTATGAGATCCTATTTAATTCTAATAGGATCCTCTAAGATTCTTCTGTAGTATTCATGGATCTAGACTTCAAGGATGTTTATAGTAAAAGCGATCTACCCAAGTCAAATACAATCGCACAGTATGCATTTTTCCATAGGCCAGGCGAGATTCTCAAGATGTCATTTTTATTGAATGAAAACATTTCAGTATCGCGATAAATTGAAAACACCTGAAAACCCGACGGTTTTTTGCGAAACCTGTCATTCGGTCCAGAAGCATTCATGCATGTTTATGCAATCACCATACATGGAACACACCTAGATGAACATTCTGTGAAAGTTTGAACAACCTGCGGCTTGAGGGTTTTTGGGGACATTCATCCTAGTACCTAACATCGTTTTACGCCGCATACCCGTGTTTTAGCTAATTTCGGAAATGTGTTTTCTGGCAATCCACAGCAGTTGGAACAAAATTGTTTGTGCCATCGCATAGGGCATGTCTTGAAATATATGGGTCGCTATTTGAATTAGTTAAAAGTCGCATTCTAATTTTTCGCCTAATGTCCGCCTGGATGCACACTGTGAACTGGTCTAATTCGCCCCCCCGCCCCCACGGGCGAAATCCCGGTCGGGCTCGACAGGAATCAGCCGAATCCGGTCGTCCGAAGCTTTGATCCAAGTATTCAGCTACGAATAGCGAAAGACCTAAAGACCTTCTCGAGCTCTCTGCTATGTTTCGTTACCGCGAAATCTGTTTAAAGTTTGTTCATTTAATGAACGTCCGTCTGTGGGTATATGTTCAACAGCGAAAAATGAATAACGAAATTCATAATATTGATTTGACTTAGCTGTTTGTTTTTGACGAATTTGGTATTAAATGCATATAAACTGTTCTAATTTTTCCATATAATAACGGTCGATTCCCTTTTAACCCTTTGGCTCCCGGCGACACATAAATACGTCTAGTTGCAATTATTGCATGATCATAATAGCTAGAATAAATTTGAAAAAAGATTTGAATAGCTCAAAAGAATTTCCGATCTCAGGTGCTGTATACAAAGGCTCCATCAAAACTCCTGAAATTAGGGTCAATGGAAAACTCAAATCTCAGAAAACCAAGTCCCAGAGTTCAATCCAGAAATTCCTTACAAATAAGTCCATCGTGTAGAATAAAAATTTCTGAAGAAAATGAGACGTCTCCGAGCTGTTTACAACATTTTCTCATGGAGCAAGAATCAATTTACAAAAGGCCCTAAGGGCGTATCTTCTTGTTTTTCCGTTGGTTTTGCTGCTATGGGGCTTTCCGTAAATTGAATGCTGCTCCATGAGAAAATGTCATAAACAGCTCGGAGACGTCTCATTTTCTTCAGAAATGTTTACTCTACACGATGGACTTATTTGTAAAGAATTTCTGGATTGAACTCTGTCTCTATTATGCTGATTACGTAAATATTACACAGAAGAAAGTTCATTCGAATGGAGATGGAGCAAAATCATTAACTCAAATAATAATGTGATAATGTTTCAGGTTGAGACAATGGTTATAACAGAAGTAGGATAGTTAGTAACAGTTTTTCTGTTAGTAACGGTAGTTTTCTTCGCTCATCTCCTTCTCTTTCCAAGTTTTTTATGATGCTTGCTTACAACATAGAGAATTTAGTCTTGCGCATCGATGCTGTAAGAGCTCTTGCTCAAGAGCCAAACCATGTGATATGTTCCAAGAAACTTTTCTTAATTCTATCATCTCGGATATTGAAGTGAAAGTTCCTGGCTACTTTCTATACAGACAAGATTGTGAGAGAAATGTTTGAATGTGAGAAGTCACTACCTAGGTTCGTGATGACATTAAACACCGTCTTCATGCTTCATCATCTAAATTAGAATGCCTTTCTGTTTCATTTCTATGCACTAATCAACCTTTATTTGTTTTCAACTGTTATTGCCAATCAATTCGTCCACTAGCTCTAAAAACAAGAACCATGTTCATGAATTAAAACCATTTATACCTGCGAATTCGGGTGATAATCATGTTATTGTGCCAGATCATTTTAATTTAAAATTTAATAGTAGTGTACTTTCTGCAACCATAACTACATTATCATTCAAACAGTCCTTTTCTAAACCCACAATCGCAAAAAATTTATTTGTTAATAACATCTTTTCCCAAAAAATTTCGCATCCACAAAATCCATAAAATTTTTTTAGAAACGTCGATAGCTCATGTGTGTCATCACATATCATTGAATGTACCATTAAAATTACTGTCTAAATCAACTGCTTCTAAAAGAAACCTTGTCTATCAAGATCATTGCATAAACTTAAAAAATGAAGCTTTTCAACACCTAAAACGAAACACTTATGAATACACAAGAATAAAATTTAAGAAGCTGAGAAATACAGCTACTTCATTGCAACGGAAACATCGTAAAAGTTTTGCTCAGATATAAATAAATAACGTGAATCGTGAAGTGAATTGATTGTAAGTCGAATGAATGTCGTGTCGCGAATATTATTCATTCTGTTGTGGCTCGATCTTATTACAACAGAATTGATGCGTAACAAACTTGCACAAAAACTATTCTTAAAGGTAAATGAATTTCTGCCGTAAACGTAAACAAATAATTTCTGCACATAGCATTCTCTGAGTTTGTACCACTATTTTTTTGTTTTTATGAGGTTTCAGAGTACAACATGATTTGTCATATCATTTCCGGGGTAAAACATTGATTATTTTTACAGATTGAAGTGTGTTATTTTCGTTTGTTATGCAAATAAAATTCTGATAATTCACGAGGCAACTCTTGCAACAAATCGTCATTTTTTTCTTATTCATTGAGTGTATGATACCGAGTGTATTTTGTATTATTTTTAGCTTTTCTTTAGCATTTATCATACTCTATTGACTCTTAAGAATGATTGTTTATGTAAACAAAACTTTTTTATTTGATTTCGGGTAAAGAACCTGAACACATAGAAAGGTAATGATCGGCAAATATATATGTACGACAAAAAGTTGTAATGAAACTATCTTTAATATTTTTTTTATATCTGTCGCGAACAAGCTCAAAACAAACGATGCAAACTCCACGAAAAAGTATTATCTTTCAGCTGATAGTATTAGTTGTTTGGTTATGTGGAATGAATCAAGTTCAATGTCAAAATCAAAAAATAGACTTTCCACAGTCATGTATTGCTATAGTTACTGGTAATTATGCACCATGCATAGTGGAACTAGCTACGCAAATCTGGAAGTTGCATCAATGGGGCGAAGACCAACCAATAACAATATGTGGTATTAATTGTGTTGGTAATGTGAAAGGTCGATTTAGTGGATTCGAGTGGAAATGGGATGGCAAATTTCAATGTGAGGCAAAAGCACCGGGTATTATTGGTCAGACAACAAAAGTCAGTCAACAAGGTGCGATAGAAAATGCCATACAAGATTTTTTAACTAAAGCAGTGGCAGCAGGCAAGATTAAGCCCGAAGATTTTAAATGTTAAGATAATAAAATCAATCATGTCGCAAAAATTATGATATTTACTGTATATAAATACTACGATTTAATCCGCTAGAGGGATTCTTGTGTCTTCTTATTATTACATTACGATACTATAATCAAGTTCTTCTTATTTGTTTTTCTGCCCCGTGTATCTTCTGCGCGAGGTTTTGTGATAAGTTTTGAAATGGTTCTAATGTACTGCAGCACGGAGGTTTCCATTTTCCAAATCTCTATAGAGAAAAGACAAATTCATTATCACAATGTCTCTATGAGTCACAGAGTTTAGTGTGGTTAAAGAAAGAAAATGATTTTGATATTTTAAACTCGACTTGTTTAAACTAATAAATTTTGTTTTACAGTCGTTTTGTAAATGAAGGAAAAGCGTCTCCGGGAGATGCTAGGAGCCGAGCCGAGCTATAGGAATCCTTGTGGAGACGAGTGTATCTCAGTCAAAAGACCAATATCTACATAGCTAGGCGAATTTCTGTCAAGTAGAAATTTCTAGTTTATTTAGTATTCTATTGGACACTTAGAATTGTTCAATGCTAAATGGGATACAAGAACATTTTCGTCGACGTTAATGCTGCATTATGTATGCATTGACAAATTCTCTTTGTACCAAAGAAAAACCTTTTTATTTTTTATATTTGCTTTTTAAAAATAAAAGTAAAAATTGGAGATAGAAAATGATGATGACATATAATTCACACGTATAAATGCATTTCGAATATCTTCTTTAGTGTACGTATGTATTGTTAGAAGCAAATATGCAATTAGATCAACCATGGTCATTAGTACTGACTTCACAGAATATTTTTGGATGTATGTTTTACTGGCGCCTGCTTCAATATTCAAATGTCATTTAAAAATAAATTGAGAATATCTCGTTTTTTAAATTTTTATTTTAAATATAAACATTTAATGAATTTAGAATTACAAGAAAACGCATGGTCAGCACATTTACGCACAAATAATTATCAGTCTAGTGCTTTCGATTTCGTACCGGCCATAAAATTAAATTTTTGACCGAAAGATGCGAGACCATTTTCATGACACTCCCCGCCATTCACGTCAACCACGTGTTATAGTTACATCAGTAGTACAATTTAGTTATATAATAGTTACAATAAGTTATTTTTTTACTATCTTAGGGGGTATCGTAATGCTTGCACATTGGTGTGTTGACCCATTTGACCCGGGCTCAAACTCTGCAGCTATTCTAGACTGGATTTACTCCGAAACGAATTATTCAATCTGGGTGTTAGCAAGTAGAAAATATATTTATAAGATGCAGCTTGGCTGTATGGAATTATGCGTGTATGTCCTAGCCAGAAGATGATCACTTATGGTGTCACATTACATGTCTATTAGGTATAAATGACATCACAAGTGATCGTCCAGAATATATAATTGAACAGACAAGAGCTTTAATTAAAACAACAAAACAAAAATACCTACATTCTTACATAAGTATTTGTACAATATGTATCGTTATGATTATCCTGAATACAATCAACAATTTGATAATTATAATAGTTTATTATACGATTGTCTCTATTATGCTGATTACGTAAATATTACACAGAAGAAAGTTCATTCGAATGGAGATGGAGCAAAATCATTAACTCAAATAATAATGTGATAATGTTTCAGGTTGAGACAATGGTTATAACAGA